CCACTCAATAATAAGTTAGTTACTATGCGGTAGAGTCGCCAAAATCTGCAAGCTAATTTTCCTTCGAAATATTTCCAAAATTTTGTATTTAGAGTTTGTACACGCTTAAAAATGTTACCGACTTTGCAAGAAGTAAACTGGTAGTTAACTATATATATCGTAACATTGACTAAATTTAGCGTTAAATGGATAACTTCATTTTTAGTTATGCATCATTTAGCCATAATTTTAGTGAAGTCACTGTATTACTTTAAAACAAGTTAGACGTTACACCAGTCCGGGTAAGGCTGTAATGGCGTTTACTACATTCCGGGTACCTAGTCCCGCGAGAAATAAAGCTTGGTCCACACTCCACTTTTCCCTCGTCTTTGTGAAAAGAGTGTTCAATTGTGAATTAAAACTAAAGTAGGAATTAATTAATTTGCCTAATTAATTAGTTAAAATTCATGAATTATTCCACACCACCTGTACTAGATGTGGAGGAAACTGCTCGACTACCATCGCAATTTGGGCTGGACTGCTATTTGGATACTTTTAAGGGTAAGTTTATTTACAATAGCCCATAATTTACACTTTGCTCATTTCATTTTATTTTAAATTAGGAAATGCAATAGCGGACGACCCATTGTTACTTGTCAGCAAAGAAGATTAGGCAACAATTGTACCAATATTTTGCCATCGACGAAATTTTGGAATGGAATTCAGAAGTTTCTAACGGCACGATTTATGTATGCAAAAATGTGTTCTCCAATCTTTAAAGATGTACATGGGTTATCAATACTAAGGCAATTATTTCATATTATTTTTGGTTATTTTGCAAGCTGTGATTTAAGTAATTTAAGTGGATTTAATTGAAATAAATATTACCTAATAAATGTATTTACAAATACGGCATTCATTTTGTTGAGACACTAAATACTGCGACCATTATTCATTTTACTTAATATGGGGTTAGAACAGTAACCCCAACCAGGGTTAGCACCCAGACGAGAATAGGGTAAATGGCTAATTGCAAAGGGTAACTTTCGTTACTTTGTTGCTGAGTGGTGGCTGTATACCCCAAATCGGGTAAAGTCACTTTTACGTTTATTTTTAGTTATATTTTACTTCTTTTAGGGTAATAATTTTTAAGCGTGTAAGCTCGACACTTTACAAATTAAATACATAAAATTCCCCCGAATTCTAAAATTTTGTACACAGTTCTGGCTGTTGATCGTAAAACGACTTGCCTGATCAGTATTTTTCGAAATTTTAACATAGAAACCGTAGAAAATACTGATAAGGCAAGTCGTTTTACGATCAACTGCCAGAATTATTTCCTCAAATTTTTACCCCATCCTGCATTTTCCTACTCGAAGTTCCCTAAATCTTAATAGAGTTGTTGAAAACAGAGGAAAATCCACATACGTGCCGAGAGCATGAGAGATTTCATTCTTTGACCAGGATTACAATTCAATTTGATGTGCGGCGAAACGTGTTGAGACGTTGAAACGTTTTGAGAGCGTGTGACCCGTGATATTTGAAACGATCGAGTAAACACGGATCCAAATCCAAATCTGCGTTTCCGAGGAAATCTATTTGTTTTAAGGACCCTGTCCAGCCTCATTTTCACTCAATTCTAGTGGCAGTGAAACGGACAAAATACAATATTTTCGAGTTTCTCAGGGATTTTAATACAATGTTTTAATTTAATGAAGCAACTCATAGCGAATGTACTCCAAAGTTTGTTTTGTATTTTTTTTGCAAACTACTATATTTTACACATTTTTGCAAATGGTAACGTCGAAAGGTGTACTTTACGATATACGTGATATAATTAGGAGATAGGTACGTGTTTGGCAAAATTGAGAATAGGTTAGATTAAAAAAAACATGGTTTATTTGAGGTTTTAGTTTATTTTGAAATCCAAGAAATCCAAGAGTTTTAACTTTATTTTGAAATCCAACTTTTCTAGTGGATTTTACGTTTTAATGAAGTGATTTACTCCGAATTTTGTAATAATTTTAAACTTTTTTCTCAAATTATTTTACAAATTTTTCATGCGAATTGTTTTGAAGAATTTATATTTTGTAATTTAATAACGTCGAAAGATATGGTTTTCAAATGTACTCTAGCCAACGTCACAAAAAAGATAAGTAACCTAACTACTTACACAACTGACCCTGTCTTAGACTTGTTTTTTTAAATTTAGTTACGATATATTTTTTTAGCCTTATTTTAAATACTTTGTATTAAACTTGTGGAAACGATGAATTTATAAAGTTTACCAGGTTAAAAAATATAATTGAATTTTTCATGTCATTTTGATCGGAAAACTGCATTTTTAGTTCTACTTTTCTAGCAACGAAAGATAGGTTTCTTTAATTTGATGAGGCGATGCACTCACAATTAAAAAAAATACTTTTGTAATTTTTTAAAACGACGTTAGACATTTTTTATGAATTGTTGTGAAGAATTTATATTTTGTAATTCAATAACGTCAAAAGACATGAGTTTACCACTTAGGCGAGTTAATATCTAATAAACCGTAGTAACGTTAGAAGTAGCTCACCCTGTCATGATGATTAGACAGAACTTTGCATCGAAGGTGCGGAATAAGCCGGCAAAGTAGATCATAACTCGTATATATTCTTGCACCGATGGTGCAACAAAACCGGCTAGCCGTTGCACCATTACTGCAGCATTACCGACCATCCGGGATACAAAATTTTGAAAACTTTGTCAACATTGTATGACCATTTCTCCCGGATATTTTGCACTATTGGTGCGTTTTACATCCCATCCCCCAATTATTTCGCATCATTTTGTGTTACCAATTGTTAGACACCAATGGTTCTATTAACTTGTTAAAAAATTTGATTCGGTTTGTTTAGTACCAATGGTAGGACTAGGATATTCTATAATGGACAAAGGGATTTTTAATTAGCATCAATTGATGCATAAAACTCGTCAACGGACGGACGGACGGACGGACAAGAGGAATTCAATAGCTCTCATGCTACGCAGGGTGAGCTAATAAAGGTGGTTGAAGCTTAATGATCGTTTTATTTTACGTTAGTTTGTGACCTAACTTTTCTTTGAAATCCTTGTAAACTTGTGGAAGCGATGAATTTATAAAGTTTACAAAAATTTGATTTAATTTATTCACTCGTCATTTTGATGGGGAAACCAGATTTTTAAATAAGAATATAAAACTTGTTAATTGTGGCAAATAGTTGAGAAATTTTAGAATTGATTTTACAAGGTAATCGTTTCATGCTTATCACCAATTTGTATTAGACCAATTTTACCCTATTCACAACCTGTTTAAATATTTCATACACGATAAAATCCTTACTTAAAAATTTCCATATCTCAATTTTTAAATAATCTTTTAAATAAGTCAGTGTAGAAGATATTAAACCTTATCAAATTTAACACTGGTTGCTAAAAAAATGTGTACAAATGCAGGAATTTATTTTCATAAAAATTTACATCGAAATTTCCAAAGTTTTGTATTTTACGCGAAAATGTGCGCTATATTGAAAACACTTATAAATTTCACAATGCTGTTTTATATTCTCAAATTTTGTACTAGGAATTTGTAATTGAATTACGTCGAAATAAGATTAGTTTTTTAATGTGAAGCTTAAAAAGCAATTAAGATAACCCATCTGATGAAAAATAAGTTGTCCAAAGGTCGGTTATCCATCTTTTCATGGACCATTGAGAACTATATTGTATTACAAATAAGGTCAAATATAAATAAAAATATAAAATACAAAAAAATTGAAAAAAATGAAAAACTGAAATTATAAAAAATAGGAATATAGAAAAAACTGTATCACTTTACTTCAAAATTCAAATTCCAAAATTTTTGAGCAATCCTTTAAAATCAGTGTTGTGAATATGCACATAATTGAATTTGTCAAATTTAACACAGGCGCAAAAGTGTAAATATATAAATGCATGAATATAAATTTTTTCATAGCAAAATTTTGCATCGAAATTTTTATTTTATACGAACATTATTATGCGCCATACATATACTGAAAACAATTATTTCATATTTTATACTCTAAAAACTGTTATTTGTAATTGAATTACGTCGAAGTGGAATAAATTTATAATTTCGGGATTTAAAATGAGATTAAGGTAATGCATTTTCTTGGATGAATGGCTTAGCTTATAGAATAAAAAAGTAATTGATCTTTACTTTCTGGAGTTATGCTACTTTCATCTTTTCCAAATTTTTGCTTTAATGATGCTACCGTAGTTCCTGGGTGGTTTAAAAGTTATCAATTTCTTATCTTACTAGTCACTTTAATCGGCTTATATAACAAGCGATTTAGACTTTTACTACTTTCTCTTTACTGCACTTGTTACTGCGTTGTTAATAATTTGCATATTAAACAAGGCTTGACCTTTACTTTCCTTTGCTTTTATGACTCTTCAACTTCCTTTTTAATTTTAGCAACCTTGTTCATATCGAGTCAATTTGATATATCAATATCATGGCAACTCACACAACCCTTGGCAACTTTGTAAAATTAGTAAATTTGGTGAAAAAATTTTGTAAACTTTTTCAAAATAAAGAGGCGCTCTTGATCTAAGCAAGTTTACAAAAATTTGGAAGCTACACGCTTAGAAAAATATACTTAATCCAGAGTAAAACATAAACCTATATCAACCAAAAAATGACTCGATACCAAATCAGATAAACAGTAAGATTTTGTGAAAGGGTAGCCACTTTGACTCGAAATAAAGTGAAGTAGTTCAGGCTCATGCACTTAGTATTAGGTTCACTACGCTCACTTCAAAAAAAGTGGTCATATATTGAGCTCGATATTAAGTGCACATCTTACCCCGTAAAAAGTGAATGTTTTGTTGATGGTCACTAAAAATAAAGTTAGCAGGCAAACCCGGTCTTTTTAAATGCTTGAAATATTTATTGACTATAGATTCAATAATAACAACCAAATAATCACAACTTATGTTTAATATTTTTGTACTAATGTAACCTAAATACGGCACATGATTTGTCCGATCAGAGCTTGAACAACCGGCGGAATTGGTGAGTGACTTCCGTTTCCGGCTACTCCATGGGAAATGAATGTCCAGTGATCATACGACTCGAGAGGAAAGGGTAATCCAAGCACTGTAAAAGTTTTGAAACAGGTGTCGAGGGCGACTAGGAATCTTGAACCGCACGGGATTGCCACTTTATCGATGATGACATAAAACGCATCAAATTTCAATAGCGCTGGAATTCCCAATGCGAGTATGAATGGAGCTTTATTGCGATTTTCATCTAAGACATCCGCCACATGCGTATTTACCTAATACAAAAATAAAAACGGGCCATTGAATTTATGTGAAGATGTCGATATATGTATGATACATCCTTACCGATTTAAAAATGATGAGACTTTTGAGGCAGTCTAAATCAGAAGCTTTAATTGATTTAAAGTGCTTTGGAGACTTAGAGGCTGCGGGGATTTTTCTTTTTCGTGTTCCACAGATATTTGCCTGCGGCGATTCAGAAAGACTTTGCTGCTCAGTCGACATAGTATTTCCGGATGCTGGCGTCGCTTTTCTTCCACATGATGGTAGAACGTATGGCAAAAGGCAGTAGGCGAGTGTCATTTTGTCATCTAAGTATAATGAGAAATCTTATCTAATCTTATCTTATCTAATCTTATTATCTAAGTCCTATATTATCATACTTCAAAATTTTTGTCTAAAATATCGCTCCTCACCATCATCCAAATCGCTAACTCCTTTGAGGACATCTAGCTTCTTCATATAGTTAATGTCGCTTTGATCGGCGTAATCTAACAGCAATTTTGAAACTCGAGGCCACTTGTTATACAAGACAAGAGACAGCTTTGGATGGCGAACATTAAAGTCCTGGACAATCTATAAGGCAAGTCGAATATCAGATACTATTTAAACGACAAAAGGAAAGTTAAAAATAGACCACCCACCATTCCTTCAGTGTCAAAGAGACGAGGCATAATGTTCATAATAGACTCTAAATGAAATTGCCCCGTTTGATGGAGTCGACGAATGTACGTTCGCCTCGAAAACACCGTGTCTTTCATGTGATTTTTTATTTCATTTCCAAAATTGTGCTACATGTAAGTTAGTATGTCTTCCTCAGGCTGGTCATCTAGAATTAAAGAACTCTGAGAATGCGGTAGATACGTATGATAGTGTTGTAAAATTATTACCATTCTCATTTTCAGAATCCCAAGATTGTAAAACTGCTTCGTCTAGTTTGTACTCCAATACTGTCCTTTTGGAGTTAATTGCCTTTCTTTGATTTTTTAATCTCTCCTCCAAAAACCCAGTAGCGCCACAATATGGGGAGCTAAAAAACCACATCTCATATCCGTTTTGTAATTTTCTCCGATCCCCAAACGTCGGGTATAATTCACCAAATCCTTGGCCAACTGCTCCAAAGCTTCCTTGCTAGGTCTGCAAAATAAATATTGAAACACTAAATGTCTAAACATGGTAAATAAATATAAAACGATGAAGAATATTGTCACAAACCGGGTTCCATGGTGCAAAATGACAGCATCGATAAGAACAGCTGCAATAAGTTGCCTATCTGCTTTAATGATCATTAAATTCTCTGGAATCTTGGTGGCGACGATTTTTTGTAAAGAAGTAGATTTCTGAAGGACCTCGTTTATATCCTACATAGAATATGGAAAAAGGACATCAAATGGCACTTCACAAGTCATGCATAAATGACTCTAAAATTCACTCACAAATCCATAGATATTCCTACGTGACGAAGATTGACGGGGAATTTGTTTTAGATTTGGAGCGGTCCCCGCCTGGCTTGAAACATTCTACATGCAAATTAAAATAAAACGAAATTTGAATTCTACTGAGTATAATAAATTAAATTGATATTGATGGATGAAATAATTACACTGTTCGAATTTGCTACTGCTGCTCCCGGAGAAGCAAATACCTGGTTATCAATTTGTGACCTTACTGGAAAACGGGTTTTAATTGGTACAAGATTTGACGGCACTAAAAGCTCTTGACAATTTTGTGAGTCCAAGACTGGAGCGGGTGGCAACTCCTGAAATATAATTCTTTAAGGGACAGTATTACAACCTCAAATATTGGCAAACTTATCAAACCTTATTTTTAATTTCCTCCTGATTTGAATGCGAGTTGGAGCTTTTTGAACTACATTTTAGTATTGACGGCGACAAGCACAGCCCCCTTTCACGTGCTTCTTTCTCGTCTAAAATGTCATTGGTATCAATTGAAATCCCAGCTTCAGAATGAGTTTCGTCTGGAACATGAGAAATTTTCAGTCTCAGGAACATTGACGTGAAACGTCTGAAAAATTAAATACAAAATTAGTTTTTCGCACTTACTTTATTGTTTAATTTAAATACACCCATAAATTCCAAAATCATTCAGAAATTAATCCAATAAACATCGTACATAGGAAATTAATGACTAAATTAATTTAATTGGAAGGATCATATAACTAGATAAATCATTTAATTTGAACGACTGCATTGAATACAAGGGCAGGAAGAAGGCAAAATCATTTATATCAATAATTCGGACAGATTTTTTATCATTTAGAACATAACTACAAAAATGGTTATCATACTCTCCACTCATTTCGGAAATTATTATACTACAGTCTCCATCTTCCAAAATAATTAATTCAATTCGACCAAACAACTGTTCCTCTTCTCTGCAGCCCAAGTACACAAAACTACCAATCCGATACTCCAACCCGTTTAAAGTTGCCTTGTTAGAAATTTTTACCATTTCCATGTTAAATCTGTCCCTAATTAAATTCTCGAATTCCAAAGACGCTACTTGAACTGTGTCGTAAATATCACAATGAAAATCATTAGGGTAGAACTCATTTTTAGACAACAGACGAAAACGGGACAGTTGATGACGATAACAGGCTGATTTGGCAATATTTCTAAAATTACAAGTCATATGCGCATTTGTTTTAAAGAATTTATGTTTTGCTTCATATGCCATGCTCCAAAAATAATGAAGTGGTCCAATCAATTCAATTGAACTTGCATAATGCAATAAATGGTGATGCTTTGGCTTGAGCAATTTCTTAAATATTCCTTGATATGACATACAAAATTCCGAAATCAATGAGTCTACATATGTCAAACCACCCTTAGAGATACTTGGAGCCATTAGAATATCTAAAATTTCCCTAAACGTGAGAAACAAATTCCACTGAATATTCCCGACTGGGACCAAGTCACCAATTAGCAGAGGTAAGACCGTTATCAAGCATAGTGATTGGGAAGCATTCTGGCCAGATTTGGAATCACCTTTAAGGTAACTTTGTTTAAAAATTGAAGGCTTGGTATTGCAGAAATGTCTACCATAATCGAAGGATTCAATCCTGTGATTTAATTTGTCTAAGGTCATGAATTTTTGACTTATTAAGTGCTGAAGTAAAAGAATAACTAAATCCATACCAACTCCCTCAAATGTATCATGCATGATATCGAACACTACCATCTTCGTAACATGGTGATATGGAAGCCGATTGAGTACTGATTCAAATTCTGTTGCTGAAAAGTTATTAGACCTAAGGTCAGCAGTGTAGTTTTCTACCGTACGTAAATTAGCGTCATTTAAAATAAAAGATTTCTGGCATTCTTGTCTATGTAATCTACAACGTCGACATGGAAAATTGGCAGTGAAACCTTCTGTAAACCCTAAAATGGAGTGAAGGCCTAAATTATCCCCAGATAATTGAGCAAGTGCAACTTTCACATTCGTCTTTACCCCGTTAAGGTCAAAATCAATTCCCACATTCCACAGCGAAATTAATTCCTCAACTCAACTCGCACAACGAATTTGATGAAGAAATTTTCATGTCAGAGCTTTTCACTGATGCTAACAGAAGAATATTATCTAACGATGACAACATAAATTTTGGGAGATCAAGAATCGAATAGTAGAAGTTACTCAGCTTATGCTTGCCAGCCTTCGACCCTAAAGGATTTGCTACCTCAGCCTCGTCAAAGTAAATATTTATAAATATTGTGTTTTTGGGGAAATTCATTTGGCTAAAAAGCAATCCATCGCGGAACGTAGTAAACACATCTCCATTATACGACTTGTTTAATTCAAGAATCTCAAAGAAACCAGGTTTTCGTAAAAGTTGGAGAAGTGACTCCGTAATTGAAATGTACTGCATTGTCACAGGGCGATAAAATTGTCTCTCCGGCGTGCGACGAAAAGCCAGGTCAGAGTCGAGTACAATTGGTTTGGAGTTTATTATCAAGTCGTTTTCAGTCAAGTATTTGTCAAGCTTATACTTCGTATCTAGTCCATCAAAAGTTGAATTTAACAAATCAATTTCCTCGTTCACTGAGTTAACTAAATCATCCATACTGGGATCAAAAAGCTGGGTGCGAACTATATTTTTTATATTTTGTAAAATACTATCTACCAATAATTTTATAGAGGAAATAATGTCATCAAACGTGCTCATTGGCACTTTTCCTGATTGTAAGATGCTAGCTAAAACTTTCATCGCAAAATATTTTAAGTCAAGAGCTTGATTTTCCGATCCTGTATCATTCCCTAAATCTTGAACCTCCGCCTCTATTTCATCCACTAATTGATCATCGCTATCCTGAGAGAGAAATATTCTTTTGTGAAGCTTAAAAATATTTCGAAAGTGATTTACAAATGATCGTCTTTCAAATAACCCGTCACAGTGTACACACTTGTGAACGTCACTGTGGCTAAGCCTATGTGTTGTCTTAATATGTACAAGTAATTTAGAAAAATTTACAAAGCCTGTTTTACATAAAAAACATACATAAACTTCTCGCGATTTAGTAGCCTGTAAAGCTCGCAAGATCTTCAAACGTGGACCCATGCTTGGAACGATTTCCTTTAGATTTTCTTCAGTTAATAACAGGTAGCTCTCGTCGTCAATATCATTATCTAGAACACATACAATCAAATATTTAATAATTGGCAGGCTTGGAAAACGGCAAAACTACCTTCAAATTGGGAGAATAAGTTGTCCAAGCCAAGTTGCTGCAACATTCGCCTCAAATCGCCTGAATTGTTTTGGGACATGGTGATCGGCTTAGTCTCCTAAAAACACGAAATGTTATTAAATTAATAAATTGAAGAGTTATTGAACACATTTCAGTCTCAGTCGGGTAATAGCCAGACTTTAAAATACAAAATTCTACTCCAAATGAAAGTTCTTACCTGTGAAGCTACAATCATGCGAAGCTAGAATCGCCTGTGGCTTTGAATAGACGGTTCCTCAATTAAAATCTTAAATTATAATCTTGCAAATTGAAAAGTAATTTTAGCAAAATTATTCTTCCTCTGAGAGGAAGGAGAACAGAGAGAATGAGTGAGTAACCCGCTCACAGACTCGTGGTGGTGGATAGCTTTTTTAATGCTCGATTTCGGGCACTACGCGACGTCATATCTAGCTTTGCATACTAGATTTTTAGTATGTGAATTTGAGTGTGCTGGATATCAAGTTCAAAATCATTTCAATTACTATTTATTAAGTAAGCACCTAGTAAACAAGTAAGTTTTCGATGGCCACTTTTTAACAGGTATCCGTTTGGGTTAACTTTATTCCAAACTTGCCTGTTGACTAGAAATAGATGTCAGTTTACTTATTATAAATCAATGTAGGAAGTTACCCCGATATTTGATTTGGGAATTTCTAAGCGTGTAATTTACCTCAGAAATATATATTTTTTAAATTTAAATTTTGTAAATGTTTGTATGTTACCAAGCCCTGTGTGAATTGTTAATAAGTTTTTTCAATAATTGAATATTCTCCTAAATTAGCTGGACATTTTTATTGTGAGCGAAAATTTCTCGTAAATTTTATTGGGATCAACCTAAATAATTTTCAAAAACAAGACTATTAAATATATTAATATATTATAGAATATTTAAAAAATAATGGTTACATTTTACGGTGATGTGCAAGACAAGAATCTAAAGATTTATCATACAATTGCAATTAAATGTAATTTTTTTATCGACGTGAAACATGCCAATTTTTGCAATTATATAAAGCGACATGTCATTTACCATTTAGATATTTAAAATTACAGGTGAAAATGTTTAATAAACATTTTTATTGTAATTACGAAACCATACAATTTTTTTCTAACGTTAGAACCAAGTAGAAATTAATATGCATTTTTTAATTCAATTTGAAACTTTTTGCAAATTTTAAAATTTTCCAAATCATGAAGCATTATTCTTCCAAACATTTTCAATTTCCAAAATGAATCCAAAAATTTCTTTTTCCCAGATTCAATTCGTCCTCACCACATTTCTCTATCAGAACTGAGTTCTTCCAACTTTCCGTGACACGGTTAGATAAGGTTTACAAATTTATTTCAGAAATATAAAACGTAACATTGACCAAAATTTTATTTTACAAATCAGAACCATAATAGAGAAAAAAACTTTGTAGTTACAATTGTAATAAAATTCTCCCAAACTCTGACCCTGTTTTGTTCTTACTCGAAGTTCTCAAAATCTAAATAGCGTTGTAGAAAACAGAACAAAATCCACATTCGTGCCGAGAGCACGAGAGATTTCACTCTTTGACCAGGATTCATTGCATTGATGCAATGCAATTTAATACAATTCAATTTGATGTGCGGTGGAACGTGATGAGAGCGTGTGACCCGTGATGTTAGAAACGATCGAGTAAACACGGATATCCAAATGAGTACTTGGAGGGGTCCGGATTAGGTAAGGCCTAATCCGGACCCCTCCAAGTACTTTTCGATGTAAGATAACTTTTCGATGTAAGATAACCTTGGAAACTTATATTTTAATGTTTTGGCAAAATAGAACATTTGTTAGGTTATTCACAATTTTATGCTGTATTTGTGACTTGATTTTATTTTAAAATCCACGAAATACACGAATTTCTACTTTTCTAGTGGATTTTACAATTTAATGAATAGATTCGCTCGGAATTTTGTAATAAATAATTTGATATTTAAAAAACATTATTTAACACATTTCTATTACAAATTGTCGTGAAGAATTTATATTTTGAAACTAAATAACGACGAAAGATATGATTTTACGATGTACTCGAGCTAACATCACAAAAAAGATAGGTAACTTACACAATGGACCAGCTTTAGATTTGCCTTTTATTTCGTTTACGGTATATGTTTAAAAATTTTGTAAACTTGTGGAAACGGTGAATTTGTAAAGTTCGCCGGGTAACAAAAATATGGTTGAATTTTACGTCATTTTAATCTGAAAACTACATTTTTAGTTCCACTTTTCTTGCAATAAAAGACCTTAATTTTATGAGGCGATGCACTCGCAATTTTGTAATAATTTCGGGATAAAAAAACTATTTTACACATTTTTGTAATAAATTGTTTTTTAAGAATTTATAATTTGTAATTCAATAACGTCGAAAGATGTAGTTTTATAATGTACTTGAATAAATCTCAAAGGAAAATTCATGGTCTTCAGTACTGACGCTTGTTCGAGACCTTTAATGAAAACCTATTCAATCAATTCAGTCAATCAAACTTTTAGTTGAATTATATTTTTATTTTACGGTATATTTGTAGTCTGAATATAAAATTTTTGTAAACTTGTGGAGGAAACGGTGAATCTAGGAGTAGTACTTGGAGTGGTGGGGATTAGGCCTTGACCTAATCCGGACCCCTCCAAGTACTACAAGTGAGCCCTTATCCTTTCACTTTTCCTATTATATCCTCACTGCACAATTTACATATTAGAATCTATAAAGATCACCAAGTTAAAAAAATATGATTGAATTTTACATTTCATTTTGATGGAAAAA